TGGGGGAAGAAAAGAGCGGGCTGGAATGCAAACAAATTCTTCCCAAGGTATGTTCCAAATGTTAACATTTACCAGAGTTACCATTCATGTTATCAGTCTGAGATTGTCTGAATAATCATACATGCCATTGTCTGTTCCCCTTTTTGTCTCTCTTTCTGTCAATCTGTCCCTCTTTTAGGGAACGCTTACTTGAGGAAGCTGCTGGATTTTTGTAACATCAATCATATTTTCTTTGTGTCATTTCTATACTTGGGGGGGGGGTATTTGGCATTGGCCACAATCACACCGACGAGAAATGAAACCCTTTACCAGTACTGGCTCGAGTCTGGGTACTGAAATTGGGCCACCACCACCGGCATTGGGCCACAATCACACCGGCATTGACCACATTAATCTGCCTACTTGTGGCATAAGCTCCTCCCACTTTCGCGAAAGTGACTTATCAGTCTGAGATTGTCTGAATAATCATACATGCCATTGTCTGTTCCCCTTTTTGTCTCTCTTTCTGTCAATCTGTCCCTCTTTTAGGGAACGCTTACTTGAGGAAGCTGCTGGATTTTTGTAACATCAATCATATTTTCTTTGTGTCATTTCTATACTTGGGGGGGGGGTATTTGGCATTGGCCACAATCACACCGACGAGAAATGAAACCCTTTACCAGTACTGGCTCGAGTCTGGGTACTGAAATTGGGCCACCACCACCGGCATTGGGCCACAATCACACCGGCATTGACCACATTAATCTGCCTACTTGTGGCATAAGCTCCTCCCACTTTCGCGAAAGTGACATCAATAATTGAATAAACTGCCTTGTCTCAAGTTACTAGCAATAGCACAAGAATACAAATGAAACAAACTTTAATATATAAATAAAACTCTATAGGTCAAAAAAGAAGCCATATCTAAACATGATCCAGAAGCGCAGGCGTTTTCTCTGGGCCAAGGCTCATTTAAAATGGACTGTGGCAAAGTGGAAAACTGTTCTGTGGTCAGACGAATCAAAATTTGAAGTTCTTTTTGGAAAACTGGGACGCCATGTCATCCGGACTAAAGAGGACAAGGACAACCCAAGTTGTTATCAGCGCTCAGTTCAGAAGCCTGCATCTCTGATGGTATGGGGTTGCATGAGTGCGTGTGGCATGGGCAGCTTACACATCTGGAAAGACACCATCAATGCTTCTTTTGTTTTTTAACACAGACTGACAGACAGCAGGTATACTAAGAGTTTAATTTATAATACTGGCTAAGAAAATTACAATATACTTAACATTCTGGCATTCAGTGATGTAGCCTAACTTATGTTCTCTGCATGAAGTAACGTCTGGCAGTCACAGCCTGTGCTTATTAGAAAGCAAACAAATAGCATTTATAATCATTAATTTTCCTTAGCATATGCTATGATAAATCTGAACATTTGTGTAAAATAATGGAGCATTAGGTCATGAATATTGCCGTCATTGAAATGTATTGGTTGAACGAACCCTGCATTTAATGAGTGAATGCCTACGATATAAAAGTTAGCCTATCAGACAAACTAGAGTTCTGTTTTTCCGAATATCTGCACTATTGCAAATGTACAATAAACAACAAGTTACTGAGTAACTTTCAGACACAAAATTCTGTTTTGCCCCATCAATGCATCTCCGAGCAACAGTGTTTTGTTTCTCAGCATTACACGGACCAGTAAATGGTTCAAACAGGCTATTAGTACAGTCCTTTGCTAAGTTAAATGAATTAGCATTTTAAACAAATCGGTTGATTTAAGGATTCAACTCGCTCATTAAGACTTGCTGCCACCTACTGGCGGTTGTAGTTTCATATTTTAAAAAGTAGATCAATCAGTGCAAGTTTCTTTCAGTTGAAACAGCTCAGACTTACATTTTAGTCAGGGACTCGGCTTAAGCCTTGTCTGTGAAACCGGGGGTTTATGTTTTACTACCAAATTATATGTAATATATACAGTAAGTATGATTAATATTTAACTGACACTGCAAAGGTTTCCGCGACCTCTCGCGAGATCTCTGCAAAAAGTCTCTTTTATTTCCAGAACATGATGCATGATGGGATACACTTGGCCTCGTATACTGCTCCGGAGCGGTATTCAAGATAGTATGGATTTTGTGTGTGTTGAGGGAACTGTGCTTTGTTGTTTTTAAGACCCTGGACAGTCTTGCACACACACTTCCTGTTAATTAATTAATTAATTAATCCATTTGTCATGTTCAATGAAATATATAATGAAGTAAAAATTTTAAAAAGTTAATGAAAGTAAAACATTTATAAATACATGTAAAAATATATGTTTGTAGAACAGATCAAATGAAAAGAATATATAATGGATTATCAAATTAAAGCAGAATATAAACAAAACGCATTAATTTATTAGCAATAAATGTTTTCATATAATTGTATACATATATTATAATTGATTTACGAATGTAATGTTTAGTAATTGCATTTAGTGTGTGTTCAGTGTTTCAAATTATTGAAATATCATTTAAATAAATATATTATTTATTAAATGTCCACCGTAGAGATACTCACCGTATTTATAATGAACCCATCATATTTAAATTATGATATATTAATATTATATACTGAAACATCTTATTTATTGTTACTACTGTAAAGCCATATTAAATTATTATGCGATCTCGTTCAAGCAGTATACGAAGCTTTCAGAATCTTTTTGTTGTTGTTGTTTTGTATTTTTAAAAAGAACATTTTAATGTAATACTTAAGTGCATATTTTGAATATTATTAAATACAAAATAAACAGAAAATGGTACAATCGTTGCTGATGTTGTTGTTGTTTTGAACAGGTTGCTTAAATGAAGATATTACAGAAAACATTACTTTTATTATTTCTTCTCCCACAAAATGTGTTGCTCCATCAATGTTCACTAAGAATATTGTATATTTTAATAACAAAAAATAATAATAATCAGGGAAAAAATAGATTTTGTTGGAAAAATGAAAGAAAATAGAGAGAGTGAGTTTGTTTTCTAAAAAAATCAAACGTGGCTGAAGAAACAACGTATTCACATATCCACATTTGATAGCATTATATTATATTAATATTCTATAGTACTTTATTTTCTTACATTATTCGTATTTTCTTTACATTTATTCCTCTGCTGTCAGTTGAATTCTCTTTAACGTGGGTATTTGTGTGATTGTGAAATAAAAGCTTTGCATCATCATCATCATCACACTCTGTTGGGAAATCTGACAGCAAGATTCACAACATCTTTCACAATTCACAACACTGCTCCCCAAAAAAGGTCACTTATTTTACCGTTTTTGACAACTATTATCGTTTTAACCGCCTTCAACAAAACTTAGAACACTGTGAACAAACGTTTGGAATATTTAAGGTGTTTTAATATTTTTGAATGAAGTCTCTTCTGCTCAGCAAGGCTGCATTTATTTGATGAAATAGTATTATCAAATGTATTCTATTCTAATATTGTAAACTGTAAATGATTGCTGTGATCAAAGCTGAATTTTCAGCATCATTACTCTTCAGTGTTGCATGGTGTTTCAGAAATCATTCTAATACTATATTAACAAAAACATTAACATTTGTGCTGCTTAATGTTTTTTTGAGGAAACTGTGATACATTTGATCATTTTAATACGTCCTTGCTGAATAAAAGTATTAATTTCTAACTTATCCCAAACGTTTGACTGGTAGTCTATGCTTCTACACAAAAGACCTGAAGTCTTTAACCCTGAGCACACTCTGGGATTGTGTAACAAAACCACATCTGCAGAGAACAGATCATGCGACTGATAGAGAGATAAAGCTGTATTATAATCACCGAGATTGGGAGGTGTTACTGTAACACATGTTTCAACATCTGTAACATCTCGCCTTTCATCAGAGCAACAGCAGACGTGTTACAAACCAAAACCTGTGCTGAGAGCATTCTGTGAAGCAGAATAAAGCAGAGCCATTTAGCTGTATTATTTTACATTTACTTTGTCTTATCTTCTGAAAAATGTTGTTTATGCTTAAAACAAGAAACAATATCTATCAGTGGGATCAGAACTCACTTCACTAACTCTTAAGTTATGTTGCTACCCAAGTAAATGCATCCCAATTTAAGTGTTTATATATTTGCACTGAAAAAACAAGACAAAAATACTGAGGAAGAGAATCTTTTTTTTTTTTTGCAGTTTATTTTTTATCTGTATGTTTCACTTTAATTTTACTTTACGATAATACCAATAATGTTTGATATTTTTGTAATATTGACACATTAATTAGTAGTTTCTGGTCATTTTCAGTTGCAAATAATCAACACTTAATGCATTGTTAATATGCGTGTTAATATGGCTCACACTGATTGTGTTAAAATTCTGCACGTTTTGATGCATCTTTATATTTGTATTCAATTTTAACATTTAAAATGCTTTCATTTGACTGTATTTTGCATTTTTACTTGAAATAAATTTTTGTTGACATGAAGCATCACAATGGGTGATTTATTAAATTCTATTAAAAAAAGGAAAAAGAAAATGGAAACATTTGTTATTGTAATTGTTTTACCTGTTTTGTGATGTGGCCTTCATTTAACATCAAGACAAATGCTGAAAAACTCTGAGACGTATAGTAAAAGTGTCTGGAGTATAAATGATAATGATAATGTAAAAATGCAAAAGAAACGGGATGAAATATAACTTAACCTGTGCAAGATTTGATCTGTGTTTTTCTGCAAACATGCATGAAAAGACAGTCTATGAATGTGTTCAGTGAGAGCCTGTGACACATTTTTAACACTTATTTTTCAGCACAAACCTTTCATTTTTAACCCTCACCCATACACACATCTGGTGGCTTGACCGTCAGTAATTCTTCTAGTTACAAGGAAATCACATGGAAGAAGATTTTGTGCTCTTGATTATAGATGCTCATGTCCATCATCACCTCCACCCCCCCATGATGATCTAGAGCCCTATAAGAGCATCTTCTGCTCGGTGTGAGGCACAACGCCTGCTGTTATTATCGGTGCATCTCAGGATTTTACAAGACTAGTCAAGAACAGTAAGTGCATGTTTTAAAGCTTTTACAACAAGGCAATTAAAAGTCTTCATGTCTTTATATTTATAAGTGACCACAGAACTATGAATGACGTTAAGTTCTAATTAAAATGTGACTTGCAAACTAGTGAAAACTACACTAGCAACTGCACTTCAAAAGTTTGGAATAATTCAGATTTTTTTGATGTTTTTGAAAAAGTCTCTTCTGCTCATCAAGACTGCATTTATTTGATCAAAAATACAGTAAAAACTGTAATATTGTGTAATATTATTACAATTTGAAACAGCTGTTTTCTATGTGAATATATTGTAAAATATAATTTATTCCTGTGATCAAAGCTGTATTTTCAGCATCATTCCTCCAGTCTTCAGTGTCACATGATCTTCAGAAATCATTCTAAGATGCTGATTTGCTGCTCAAGAAACATTTCTGATAATTTTTTCTTATTATCATTTTTTATGATTACAACCCGTCATATACTATTCATCTATTCATCAAATAATCCTGAAAAAAAAAATTTCAAAAAAAATTTCAAAAAAAAAATGAAACAGCAATAACAATTCATAAAATGATTATGAATAGAAATTATAATAATTTCAATACTGTGATATAATAATATTACTGTGATTTTTACTATATATATATATATATATATATATATATATAAAAAAGATTTTCATCATCTATTCATCAAATAATCCTGAAAAAAAAAAATTCAAAAAAAATTTCAAAAAAAAAAACGAAACAGCAATAACAATTCATAAAATGATTATGAATAGAAATTATAATAATTTCAATACTGTGATATAATAATATTACTGTGATTTTTACTATATATATATATATATATATATATATATATTAAAAAGATTTTCAAACTATAGATTTTAACTTTACTGTCAACTCTATTGTTTTTTTTTTTTAGATGGGAACGTGCACATCTCTGGAAAGGTACGTAAGACCTGGGCTGCATTACTTTAAACAGAGTTCATACAAATGCTGTTTAAAGAAATTCCAGGACTGGAGGACTTTCCAAGCACTGTTTTTGGTTTTCAAGGATGACAATCAGAGCTCCCACTTCAATTCTAAAAAAGATAAATGGATAAAACTGTACAAATAATGTATAACACATGCAACATATTAAAAGGATGAGAACTTTAACAGAGCTTTCAGTGCGCAGAAGAGCATGAACAAAGAGGTTATCAACGTCTTATATGATTTTTATTAAAAGATGCTTTAACAGAAGACTTAAAAACCCATTTAATTCTGTCCCAGTTAAACAGTAATAAAAAATCAATTTGATTTTAAAATAAATCAAAACTAAAATACTACAAATATTATACAATTCTAAAATAAATTATTTTGTAACTTAAGATATGTATATTGTCTTTTAATAATTCAAGCACTTTCAAGTGCCTCTTTATAAACATGCTGTGGTTAATTGGGACACTTTTTGCCATTGAAATGACTGTCAACAGGTGTCCCAGTTAACCTGAATTCACTCCTAAATTTCAGAAAATCAAATTAGTACTTCAAGCACCTTGAACAAAGCCTGTAAACTGGATCATTCTGGGAATAACTGATCACAAGACTAAATTGAACTCAAATGTAAACTCAGAAAAATATACTAAATAGCAGCTTGTGATGTTCAATTCAGTCTGTGTGTCTTTGCAGCCACAGCAGCCATGAGGTGAGAATCAAACACTCTTTAAATAAGAATGAAGAGGCGTTTGTAGTCAAAAGAAGAAAAACTGTTCTAAAAAGCCTGCAGAAACTCAAGATACACTGCAGTAAGGTAAAATATCGTATACTCCTATGACTGCCATTCTCCAAATGGTGTTGTAGCTGATGTTTTCAAAATCAAACCATGTGCATTTCAGGATGCGGTGCCAAACATTGCATTACTGGGTTCTGGAGGAGGACAAAGAGCCATGGTGGGTTTGCTGGGATCTCTGGTTCAGCTTGATAAAGCGGGTCTTCTGGACTGCATCCTTTATCTGAGCGGAGTCTCTGGATCCACCTGGTACGAACCCTGACAAACAACACCCACACAGAGACTGAATTGGGTTGAATGTCAAAAATGAGAGCAGTATGTTCTTCTCTGAAGGTGCATGGCCTCCTTATACCAAGAACCAGACTGGTCCACCAAACTAGAGAAAGTGAAGAACAAAATCATCAAGAGACTCAACGGTCCAGGAGTCAGCTGGGGAGACGCATTTGCCAAACTGAAGAAATATTACTATGAGAAAGACATCTTCAGCTTGACTGACGTCTGGGCAGTGATGGCCGTCACACCATATGTCAAAGAGGTCTGTAACTATTCATAACACAGCCAGGGTTGCCACTCTTAAAAATAAAACGTCTTTATTGGAATTTATGTTTGCATGAAAAACCTTTAACATCAATGGAATCTTTCCATTGCACTAAAGGTGGAAACATGTTCTTTAGATCATTAAAATGTTCTTAACACTACACAGCAAAATCCCCAGAGTTAAATCAATTCTGCTCAGAGTACATATTGTGCCAATCTACAGAGTGTTAAAGTAACACTGAAGCCGAGTTACCACTGTTGAGGATTATGTGATACGTTTTCATGTCTAAAAGCCTGAGCAGTAGTTGTTCATCTTCAACATTGTTAACAGCGGGTTTTCTTTATTAATGCTCACTCATCAGTTAAATAATTGCTTAATTATCCCATTAACTTTAACTCGGCTTCAGTGTTACTTTAACACTCAGCAGCCATGAGGTGAGAATCAAACACTCTTTAAATAAGAATGAAGAGGCGTTTGTAGTCAAAAGAAGAAAAACTGTTCTAAAAAGCCTGCAGAAACTCAAGATACACTGCAGTAAGGTAAAATATCGTATACTCCTATGACTGCCATTCTCCAAATGGTGTTGTAGCTGATGTTTTCAAAATCAAACCATGTGCATTTCAGGATGCGGTGCCAAACATTGCATTACTGGGTTCTGGAGGAGGACAAAGAGCCATGGTGGGTTTGCTGGGATCTCTGGTTCAGCTTGATAAAGCGGGTCTTCTGGACTGCATCCTTTATCTGAGCGGAGTCTCTGGATCCACCTGGTACGAACCCTGACAAACAACAACCACACAGAGACTGAATTGGGTTGAATGTCAAAAATGAGAGCAGTATGTTCTTCTCTGAAGGTGCATGGCCTCCTTATACCAAGAACCAGACTGGTCCACCAAACTAGAGAAAGTGAAGAACAAAATCATCAAGAGACTCAACGGTCCAGGAGTCAGCTGGGGAGACGCATTTGCCAAACTGAAGAAATATTACTATGAGAAAGACATCTTCAGCTTGACTGACGTCTGGGCAGTGATGGCCGTCACACCATATGTCAAAGAGGTCTGTAACTATTCATAACACAGCCAGGGTTGCCACTCTTAAAAATAAAACGTCTTTATTGGAATTTATGTTTGCATGAAAAACCTTTAACATCAATGGAATCTTTCCATTGCACTAAAGGTGGAAACATGTTCTTTAGATCATTAAAATGTTCTTAACACTACACAGCAAAATCCCCAGAGTTAAATCAATTCTGCTCAGAGTACATATTGTGCCAATCTACAGAGTGTTAAAGTAACACTGAAGCCGAGTTACCACTGTTGAGGATTATGTGATACGTTTTCATGTCTAAAAGCCTGAGCAGTAGTTGTTCATCTTCAACATTGTTAACAGCGGGTTTTCTTTATTAATGCTCACTCATCAGTTAAATAATTGCTTAATTATCCCATTAACTTTAACTCGGCTTCAGTGTTACTTTAACACTCTGTAGATTGGGACAATATGTACTCTGAGCAGAGTTGATTTAACTCTGGGGATTTTGCTGTGTATAGGAAAAAAAAATTATTTTTAAGAAGTGATCACTGAATGGTTATTTGGGGAACCAAAAATGATGGTTCTTATGGCATGGCTGTGACAAACACATGGAACCTTAATTTTTTTTAGAGTGCAAATAGAGAAAATAAGTAGAAGTAGAAATTGCATTTCTAAATAAATTGCACAAAAAACGTGAACATGAAATTGATTTGAGTAAAATAAAGTCCCTCAAATTGAGATTGTGATTGAGTGGGTGACAGTTTACAGTTTGTGCTGCTGTATTTGTTGCTCTTGGCTTTTAGGAAGAGTTTCAGCTTAAATAGGATTTTAAACAGAAAACACAGAAACGAGTTTTCTAGTGGTTAAATAAAGAAAACAATATTGTATATTGAAATAAAAACAATAATCAAATAAGTACATATATTATAAAATTCACAATATAAAACAATATACATTCATTATCATTATAACAATTTGAGTGAAAGTATTAATTTAGGAAAATGCATCAGAGAAGAATTTTGGACCCTTTATTGAACATACCAACAGCAATTTACTTCAATTATTATGAAATGTTAATGAGAAAGACTTGAGCAAAATATTGGGGGGAAATGACAAGAATAGTGTTACAGCACTGAGTAGTTTTTATATCGCACTAATTATTTTAGTTAGAAATCATGTGTTGAATGTAAATGTTTAATGCTTTTGAAAGAAGGCTCTTCTGCTCATCAAGGCTGCATTTATTTGATCAAAAATACAGTAAAATAGTGAAATATTATTACCATTTTAAATAACTGTTTTCTATGTGAATATCTGTTAAACTGTAATGTATTTCTGTGATGTGCAGCTGTATTTTCAGCATCATTCCTCCAGTCTTCAGTGTCACATGATCTTCAGAAATCAGTATAATATGCTGATGTGCTGCTCAAGAAACATTTCTGATTATTATCAATGTTGTGCTGCTTTAATTTAAAGTGAAATTGTCTAACGAAATTGTCCTCAGGCTCCTCTACAATAACATAATGCTGCAAAAAAGCATTTTCTCTTCAGATCAACGAACACAGAGTCACAAGTCAGCATAACAAGCACAAAAATGACCCGTTTCCCATCTACACAGTGATCGACAAGCAGTGCAAACAGAACAGAGAAGGAGGTCTGTATTTTTGTCTGAAACAGAGAGTTATTGTGCTCGTGTCAGCTGTTATATGGAGGTGTTTTCTGTCTGCAGACCCCTGGTTTGAGATCAGTCCACATGAAGCAGGTTATTCTCTCATTGGAGCGTTTGTGAAAACGTCCAGCTTCGGCAGCCAGTTTGACGACGGCTGTAAGATCAAGGACCAGCCTGAAATGGACATGCTGTACCTGCAGGGTAACAAACTCTGTCACAGGAGAGTTTACTAATATTTGCGATATCAGCTTACACTGTACACTACTGAACTCTGCTGACGTGAATTAGAGAATAGTCTAAAATAGACCAATAGATTCCTTATTGTTCCATTTATTTTAAACGTTCTGTTTGTTGATATCATGCAGCTCTGTGTGGCAGCGCTACAGCTGATATGGATGAGAACAAAAAATTCATCTGGCAATATATAAGAGGTGCAGTAGCATTTGTTCTGAAGATTCAGATTCACAGTCACTTCATTTTCATGTGAACTCTAATCGCATTTGATTTCCCCCCCAGGTTTATTTTCTAGTATTATATCTAGAATGGAAAATGGGATGATTGAGGGAATGGAGAAAGGTAAAGCATTTCTTATTGCTTTGATTTACTGATTTACTTTTATTCACAGAGACTGTTAATCTGTCTTTCATATTTAAACAAATGGTCTTCTCATGTTACCCAATGGCAAACTAAATGCTAAACTCTATAAAGACCAAAATAAAACATGCATATGATGATTAAGATGATCTTTGATTTGATTTTAAAGACAGTGACCCATAGCACAGCTAGAATTAATACGTCACAAGAATGTTAAAATTATGTGCATATTTAAAGATTTGTATTATATGTAAGTGTAACATTTTATGCAAATTGTGAAACATGTTTTTTTTTTTTTTTGGTAAAATACACATTACATACATCAATAGATAGATGTATGCTCAAAAAAGTATATTTAATTTGTAAAGTACAACAAAATATTGCAAATCACATTCAAGCTTCAAACATAGACACACATCTTACAAAAATTACAAATATTACATAAATATTATATAGTTAAGATAAATATATTATTTAATAATATTTAAATATTTGCTTGTAAAGTATACTTGTAAAACAACAAAATATTTCAAGTCACAATTTATAAAAATAACTATTTAGAAATGTTACATAATTACATTTTGTATAATTAAATTACATAATGTAATTTTAGCTTCAAATCAAAGCATCTTTAATGGGTTTTGGTGAGAGAAAGTGAGTGCAATGAAGGCCTTTTTCAGTATTGTTTGTTCAGTTTGTGTTTTCTTCAACAGATCCAAACTCGCCATCTGCAGGCAAGTGTTCTCAGGTGCTCATGGATCTCGTGGACATGAATCTCTCTGTTTTGAATGGCATTGATCCTTTTGATCTTCACGAATCCATTCGAACAAATCTGAACGGTGAGCTTTTCCTAAAGTGTGCTAGAATTCATATACGATATTTTTGACTATTTGTCACACTTAATCCATTGAATATTTAGGGGTGGATAATAGGGGTATAACTGACAATGTAATGATACAGTGAGGGTAAACATCATAATTAATTTGTTCCATTTTATGCATTAAGTTGTCACAATGGGAACCTGCTCAGGGCCATGCACAGACCTTTTGATGGGCATGTGTTGAAACTGAAAAAGGGCCCCCAATTTCATTAGCTAAATATCTGTAAAACATACATATATATATATATATATATATATATATATATATATATAGGAAGGAGGTCTGTATTTTTGTCTGAAACAGACAGAGAGTTATTGTGCTCGTGTCAGCTGTTATATGGAGGTGTTTTCTGTCTGCAGACCCCTGGTTTGAGATCAGTCCACATGAAGCAGGTTATTCTCTCATTGGAGCGTTTGTGAAAACGTCCAGCTTCGGCAGCCAGTTTGACGACGGCTGTAAGATCAAGGACCAGCCTGAAATGGACATGCTGTACCTGCAGGGTAACAAACTCTGTCACAGGAGAGTTTACTAATATTTGCGATATCAGCTTACACTGTACACTACTGAACTCTGCTGACGTGAATTAGAGAATAGTCTAAAATAGACCAATAGATTCCTTATTGTTCCATTTATTTTAAACGTTCTGTTTGTTGATATCATGCAGCTCTGTGTGGCAGCGCTACAGCTGATATGGATGAGAACAAAAAATTCATCTGGCAATATATAAGAGGTGCAGTAGCATTTGTTCTGAAGATTCAGATTCACAGTCACTTCATTTTCATGTGAACTCTAATCGCATTTGATTTCCCCCCCAGGTTTATTTTCTAGTATTATATCTAGAATGGAAAATGGGATGATTGAGGGAATGGAGAAAGGTAAAGCATTTCTTATTGCTCTTATTTACTGATTTTCTTTTAGTCACAGAGACTGTTAATCTGTCTTTCATATTTAAACAAATGGTCTTCTCATGTTACCCAATGGCAAACTAAATGCTAAACTCTATAAAGACCAAAATAAAACATGCATATGATGATTAAGATGATCTTTGATTTGATTTTAAAGACAGTGACCCATAGCACAGCTAGAATTAATACGTCACAAGAATGTTAAAATTATGTGCATATTTAAAGATTTGTATTATATGTAAGTGTAACATTTTATGCAAATTGTGAAACATGTTTTTTTTTTTTTTTGGTAAAATACACATTACATACATCAATAGATAGATGTATGCTCAAAAAAGTCTATTTAATTTGTAAAGTACAACAAAATATTGCAAATCACATTCAAGCTTCAAACATAGACACACATCTTACAAAAATTACAAATATTACATAAATATTATATAGTTAAGATAAATATATTATTTAATAATATTTAAATATTTGCTTGTAAAGTATACTTGTAAAACAACAAAATATTTCAAGTCACAATTTATAAAAATAACTATTTAGAAATGTTACATAATTACATTTTGTATAATTAAATTACATAATGTAATTTTAGCTTCAAATCAAAGCATCTTTAATGGGTTTTGGTGAGAGAAAGTGAGTGCAATGAAGGCCTTTTTCAGTATTGTTTGTTCAGTTTGTGTTTTCTTCAACAGATCCAAACTCGCCATCTGCAGGCAAGTGTTCTCAGGTGCTCATGGATCTCGTGGACATGAATCTCTCTGTTTTGAATGGCATTGATCCTTTTGATCTTCACGAATCCATTCGAACAAATCTGAACGGTGAGCTTTTCCTAAAGTGTGCTAGAATTCATATACGATATTTTTGACTATTTGTCACACTTAATCCATTGAATATTTAGGGGTGGATAATAGGGGTATAACTGACAATGTAATGATACAGTGAGGGTAAACATCATAATTAATTTGTTCCATTTTATGCATTAAGTTGTCACAATGGGAACCTGCTCAGGGCCATGCACAGACCTTTTGATGGGCATGTGTTGAAACTGAAAAAGGGCCCCCAATTTCATTAGCTAAATATCTGTAAAACATACATATATATATATATATATATATATATATATATATATATACAGTATATGTAGCCTATGATACATAATGATATGTAACTATAACACTGGATTTTTTTTGTACAATTTAAGCAGGTAACATGCATTAATATCTATTTTGGTAAAAAAAAAAAAAAAAAGAAATTAAAACAAGACACAAATTCAGTAATGTTCCCCTCTTTTGCAGAGCTCACTGGAGGCAAAAGTCAGCATATTTTTCAAGTGGAAAAACTGAATCTCGCTGATAAAGAAGCTGCAAAACTGCACATGAGGAAGTATACCTTGGATATTTGTGCATGCTTGAGCGTTTCGTTCAGTTTCTGGCCGTTCAGTACGTTGAACTGTCTCTAATATGTAGCTTCTAGCCATTAAGCTTCCAGTCAGAATTTAAAAAGTAATCAAAATTCAAACCTTTTGAAGTTCCAAGAAGATTTATTCAGATGAGTGCGTTTGTATTATAGATGTTTGCTTCAGCATTTGTAAGTGTGCGGTTTGGTGGATCTGGGGCACGAAATATGACTTTCTCCACAACATGACAGGTAAGAACAGACTCGTTTGTTACCTGGCAATTAAATGCGAATAATAAACACAGATTTCATGCTGTGATCCCGCAGATAAAACAGTGCCTCGTGCTCTTCTGGAAAGTGAGACGAGAGACTATATAGACGCCGGACTGTTGCTGAACTCACCCTACTTCTCAGTGCTGAGAGAAGAACGAGACATTGACCTCATCATTTCCCTGGATTTCAGTGACGGCGATCCTTTCATGGTAATATACTCCTATATAATTCTCTCTATAACAATGCAAACATATTCTCATAAAAGACGATTTTCCCCTAGAGATGTAAATTCTTTCATAATTTCTCCCCCTCATGTTGTTCATGTGTGACTTTCTTTAGATGGAGAGCTTGCTTCTTTTTTCTCATGACCTCCATAGTGACCCCCAGAGGTCACACTAACCTAAATTCTATCAGGATGACTATCGTTAAAGATGACAGACAAATAGCTTACAGTTTGGATTGGCGGTATGGTTCTGTTCTGGGCAAGAACTCCCTGTGCATCCATGCAGCCTAGCATTGATAAGAGCAGGGAGAGCAGCGATAACCCCCCAAAACAAAACCATATGCTGATATCCCCCAACACAAACTGATAGCAAAATCTCAAAGCCTTAAGCAACAAGCATGTTGCCCTTAACCAATGACAAAAAAAAAGAGTACGTTGCCAAAACCTGCATGAGGTTTAAACCTGTGAAAACCTGTATCTCCACTGTAAATCAATGGCTATTTCGTGGACTACAACATGAAAGAAAGCCATTATAACAACGTATGACCAAAACAATGTTTGCTTCTACCACTAGAGGTACCACTAGAAGCTACGTATAAGCTTTAAACTGTGAATTAAATGTTTTCCTAACCCTTTTTGTCAAGTGATTCTGTGTGATTTTTCCACTGCAGACAGTGAGAGAAGCTGCTGAGACCTGCAAGAAACTAAAGATCCCCTTCCCTGAAGTCAACATTACCAGTGAAGACGTGAAGAAACCGAAGGACTTCTATGTGTTCAAAGGCCAAAACGCTCCAACCGTGATTCACATCCCTCTGTTTAATGTGGTCAACTGTGGAGGCAAGTCCAGATCTTACAGCTGTCCTGAATAAACCAAATATCACTGAAATAAATAGTTCTGATTTAAGTGTGTTACTGTTTCTTCAGATGATATCGAGGCATGGAGGTACAAATATCGCACCTTTCAAGGTCCTTACAGCGCTGAGAAGATCACTGATCTTATGGAGGTCGCTGGAAAAAACATCTCAAACAACAGAAAGAAACTGCTGGAGCAGATTCAAGCAGACATTCGGAAAAAAAGATCCAGACGCTTTAACAATTCTGAATATAAACTCATATAGACTGAATATAGACTATAAACTAATCTGAATAACAGTCATTTCACAGTAAATAGTGTTTAATTTTTTTGTCTTAATTATTCATTAAATTAATAAAAGCATTATTAGGCTACCTTGTCTGCTAAATGTGATCTGTGTGGCAGTACAAGAGTATCATGTTTGCATTTTAATATGTTCAAAATGTTTCTGAATTCTTGACTTTCATTAAGCAATAAAGAGCTGATTAAAAATCAAATCAACCATAACACAGGCTGAATTACAATTGTGATTACCAATTAAATATATAGTGTTATTTTTCTTCTGTTCTATTGAATTTACAAACTGTTCTCTAAAAGTTAGGTTTTGTCTCGGTCATTTGATAGCAAAAGGCACAAATGCTCATTATGGTCCTGAATGCTGATCAATTGTGCTAGATGGTCTTATTAATTTCAAAAGGGTTATGGTCAGTGTTGGGAAAGTTGCTTTTAAAAGTAATGCATTACAATATTGCGTTACTCCATAAAAAGTAACTATTTGCGTTTCTTAGTTACTTTTTATGGAAAGCAATGCATTGTGTTACTTTTGCAGTACTTTTTTTCACCTGAGCTGGGCTTGCTTATTTATTTTAATAAGTTTGATTGCATCATATAATAATTGCTGTTAATAGTGTTCATCGTCTCTTTGATTACGTCTTTAATAGATTTTTCCGTACATTTCTGCCATATGTACATTAACTGACAGTCACCACTGATAAGCTACCACTAAATATTGTAGAATCTAAATTTGCTGTAAAGTTGCTTTGCAACCATTTGTATCGTGAAAAGCGCTATACAAATAAACTTGAACTGAATTTAATTGAATTAACATGGCGTTTTGGGGGCCTGAAAATGCAAATTTTTGAGAAATTTTCAAAGTACATTTTATTGATTATAATAAAAACTAATAGTAATTAAAAAAAAACTGACAGTAATTTAGTGTTAGTTCATTTGTGAGATATATTACCAAACTCCAAATTGTGGGATATAAACTCAGAATTGCAAAAAAAAAAAGAAAGAATTGTGAGATAAGAAATTGCAATTACATTTTTTATTTTTTATTCTGTTGTGTAAATGAGCTTCCATAATATATTGAGCTATGAACATTGCTTTGGATAAAAGTGTTTGCTACATGAAGAAATGTAAATGTACTTTGAAACCGGTCCCACTTTATATTAAGAGTCCCTAATACCTGTGTACTTACACAGTAACTAAATGTGTACGTAGTATGTAACCACAGTGTAAGTACACATTGGTACATACAGCTGTAATATTTCTGTAACGACACACATGTAACAACCCTCAGGATGGTTTGTGTAAGTACAAATGTGTAACAGGACATTGGTAACAACACTTTTTTTCACTTCACTAAGTACTCGTGTAACAAGAATTATATAACTACATTTTGTAACAACAATATGTATAAGAGTAATTGGGACCATTTGATCCAGCGGGGTGGAGATGGGTAGGTTTATGGATATGTTAAGTGGGAGGAGTTGGATCTTGAGTTGGAGTTGGCGCACCACTGTAATACCAGTGTACTTACATGGTAACTCCTCAGGAACTGTCCACTTCATATAAAGTGTAACATTCTGGACACCAACCACAATTTATATGTAAAGCCTAACTTACTGGCCGCTGCTATGTAACTAAATATAATATAAAGTGTATCACTTTCTTTATCAATTTGTGTGTGTGTGTGTGTGTGTGTGTGTGTGCGTGTGTGTGTGTGTGTGTGTGTGTGTGTGCGTGTGAGAGTGTGTGTGTTTGTGTGACATATGAGGACATAATTTTATATAATGACATGGGTATGACATAGGTATTACAAGGAGAAGGTGATTTATGAGGACATTGTGCGTGTGTGTGTGCACGCACTGGTTTGGGTGGTTTATGATGACACAAATTTGTATAATGACATGGGTATGACATAGGTATTACAATATAAAGGTGGTGTATGAGGACACTTCCTGTGTCCCTGTAATTCAAAAGGCTTAAAAAACATAATGTTGTTTTTTTGAAAATCTAAAAATGCAGAACGTTTTCTGTGAGGGGTAGGTTTAGGGGTAGGGTTGGTGTAGGGCAATAGAATATACGGTCTGTACAGTATAAAAACCATTACGCCTATGGAGAGTCCCCACTTTTCATAAAAACAAACCTGTGTGTGTGTGTGTGCGTGTGTGTGTGCGTGTGTGTGTGCGTGTGTGTGTGCACGCACTGGTTTGGGTGGTTTATGATGACACAAATTTGTATAATGACATGGGTATGACATAGGTATTACAATATAAAGGTGGTGTATGAGGACACTTCCTGTGTCCCTGTAATTCAAAAGGCTTAAAAAACATAATGTTGTTTTTTTGAAAATCTAAAAATGCAGAACGTTTTCTGTGAGGGGTAGGTTTAGGTGTAGGGTTGGTTTAGGGCGATAGAAAATACAGTTTGTACAGTGTAAAAAAGTCCCTGTAAACCACTAATACCAACGTGTGTGTGTGTGTGTGTGTGTGTCTCTGTCCAAGATGTTTTTGTTCTACTATATAAACACTGATGCCCTCGCCTCTCTGGAAAGTCCAGCATGACCAGCTCGAGCTGTTTTTGTTACCAGGTAATCTGGTAAAACTTGTCAGAACACTCAAAACCAGCTGATGCTTGAAGCTGGATTTATTTACTTTGATTGGGTTTGAAGCGGTTTCTTTTTTCCCAGCTGATCATTTATTTTATCAGCTTGGTTTGGGAGCTGAATTTTTAACAGTTGTCAGCTAGTTATCATACCTGCCATAAATGTAGGCTACTTCTGATAATCTCGAATAAAACCCAAGTAATTTTGTAAGATGAATTATGCTGTCAAATTTCCAATCAGAATGTAATGATACAATGAAATGAATGATTCCCAGCAGCACAGTCATACAGCAGAGCAAAATCAAAGTAAATCAATAGACATGCAAAATATCAACATGAATGCAAGGACTCTGCTGAACGCGCGTCGGAGACTGACACAGAAGAGAAGAAATTGTTGAAAAAAATCATTACTTTTGTTTTCTTTGAGCACAAAACGTAATCTCGTAGCTTCATAACATTACAGTTGAACCACTGATGTCACATGGACTATTGTAATAATGTTCTTAATACCTGGGCCAGGGAACGTTTCAGTTGCGTTGCTGTCGATGCAGGGTCAGAAAGCTCTCGGATTTCATCAAAAATATCTTTATTTGTGTTCGAAGATAAACGAAGAGCTTACGGGTTTGGAATGACATGAGTGCGAGTAATTAATGATACAGTTTTCATTTTTGGATGAACTATCCTTTAAACATTTATCACATTTTCTGAAAGTCGTAAAGGTTTCCATCTTACAGTAAATCATGTATTGTTTTGACAGCATTCTGTGGGGGAATGTATAGATTTCACACAATTATAGCTTGTTACAACGTGTTACTTGTTATAGTTCACAAGTTTTACCTTGTTTTTTCAGTCTTCTTCACACATCACATCTCATGCTTCTTCTCAAGCTCTTCACTGACACTGAAAGAATGAGTTGGCTCTTGATAGCTCTTTTGATCTAGATTGCTGGTTAGGTTTGAAACCCACCACAGGGTGTCTGGTAAGAGACTTGATTGATAGATGTAGTAGACAGGTGTCTTTATTTTTCACTACAACACTCAGTTACTTTTTAGGTGTATACATTTGTGTGTGGTTTTCTCTAAAAGAAAGAAAAGAAAATGCACATAAGTACAAACATACATGGTAGTAACCTTAGAAAACACTGTTAGAAAACAGATATACAATATACTGAATAGAGAATTATATACAGTAATGTAGGGATTAATAAAACTTGCTATGTTGTACATTGCCATAGGTTAAACAGCAAACAGCTTTCGCTATCACATCGACTAGAATATAGATTAACAGTGGTGCTTTGTCTGGGCTTGTTAAAGCATTTATGATTATTTTACAGTCTGCTTAAATAAGACTAAATGCCACTTCCGATGCAGCGTCTGTGTCTGTGTCAGGGTCAGCGTCTGTATCCCTATTGTGTCTTATTATTCTAGTTTATTGATTAAATATAAGAATTTGACATAAAAGATAACAGATCCATTTAATAAGAAAATAAAATAGCCTAACATGCATACACACACATATATATAAATATATATATATATATATATATATATAAGGTGGGGGGAGTAAATGTACAGCGATCTCTTCCACCTTCAATACCATGACTGAGGGGCCATTGAGCAAGGCACCGAAGCCCCAGCTGCTCCCCGGGCGCGGAAGCAAAAAATGGCTGCCCACTGCTCCGGGTGTGTGTTCACTGCTGTGTGTGTGCACTTTGGATGGGATAAATGCAGAGCACTAATTCCTAGTATGGGTCACCATTCTTGGCAACATGTCATGTCACTTTCATATATATATGCTACATATATATACAGTATTCTCGTGTCAGTTCATTTTTATTTGAAGGGTTGCAAGTCTATACATCACTCAGCATTAAAGGGCGTCACCTTTCAGACACGCCTAAATACAGAAAAGAAAGTAAAAAACACTAAATAGAAAGAAAAAAGAAACTCTGCTTAGAAAGACTAAATAGAAAGTCCAAGAATTCGACTTTGAAAGGCGACGCCTGCTATTGTTGAGTGATTTGTCGACAACTGTAACTGAAAATCAATTCAGGCATGACAAAAATGACAAATGACAAAACACCCACACACAAATCTGATCAGTTGCCTTCAAGGGATTTGCATTATTAATTTAGCAGGAAACATCACATTTTTCCTGGTCTCTGTGAATGATTGTGTAAGTTAACATTCATCACCTCCACTCCTCACGAAGATAGACTTGCAGTTTCGTTTCAGAGCCCTATAAAAGAGCATCTTCAGCCCGGTCACAGAGACAACGGCTGCTGTGTTGTTATTGGTGTGGTGCTGCTGCTGAAGGAATCACAGGAACAGTGAGTACATGTTTTTGTGTAGATGAAGTATTTACATTTACATGTTA